AGAGAATCAACAGCTCCTCCTAATTTAATGTACGCAAACCTACTTAGTGTGCACTCAACTCCATTGTCTGGGTCATTGATGAAAACACTGAAGGTAGCTGACCCTCAAATTGAGCTATGGGGAGCCCTGCTTTTGTTGGGTCAGCAGCTTGGTATAACTCTATTTACTACAACTCTGATGGGCTGATGGGTCAGGCTCATACTGTGTGTGTCCAGCTGTATGTCCAGGAGGATATTGTGAGAGATGGCTTTAGAAGCTCTTCTAAAACCCACAAACCCCACATTCCTTCCCTAGGCAGGTGTATTTGTCACAGAAGGATATTAAGTTAGTAAGACATGATTTTGTCTTCATGTCTTCACTAACCCATGTTAGTTTTGTCTGATGACTGCATTGTCTTTCAAGTGACTTTGAATAACTCTCTCCATAATTTTACCAGACACTGAAGCGAAACTGACAGACCTATAATTACCAGTCGTCTTTTCTGCCTTTCTTGAAAATTGGAATAATATTTAGCAGCTTCTAGCTAACTGGGGTCTCTGCAGTTTCTGCAGACTGTTGACCAGCCGTGCCCAATGTGCAAGCTGCATTCAGCCCAGCTCATCCTGCAGCTGCCCTGGGTCATGATGGCTGTGTCTCTGCCCCATCAGGCAGCCTGGCCTGGCTCTGTGTCATCACTTCTTGGCAGTATGTACATCTGTGAACAACTGTTTTCAAGGGTGAAGCACAGGAAAAATAAATTGTCATGAGAAATCTCCGACAAGCACTTTGAGAGCTCACTAAGAATTGTGAGCCACTGCCATCAAACCAGACTCGGGCATTAGTTTTTTCAGAAACAAGGTCAGATATCCTACTAGTTTTATGGTTGCTTTCTAAATTTCTTTTTAAATGAAAACATTAAGTTACTGAAGTGCAATAGCTGGTTTATATTTTGTATGTGGCCTGAGACAGTTCTTCACTCCATGTGACAAGCCAAAAGGTTGAACACCTGTGCTGTTGCCTGACAACTGAGAGAAGGCTCATAGTAGTGATGGTCAATTCAGTACTCTAGGATGAATCTCATCAGGACTTGTGTGCAGCAACAAATCCTGTGCAAGTTCAATGCCAGCTTACCCAACCTGCAGCTGTGGTCTTTCAGCCCATTATTGTTTTTAAAGGCAGGAGAATAAGGTATTATGAGTCTCTGCTTCTTTAAGTAATAGGTCTGTGTTTTCTTGAGTTGTCCTTTTGCTGTGAAAGTAATTAAGCCTTTTTTTTCTTTGTGATCCAACACAGTATTAACCAGCTTCAAATCCAGTTGACTAGTGGTTGCATGAGTTTTTCCCATACAGTGGTGAATAGTATTTCTGTTGTCCGCCTGTGTTTCTGACCTTGCTTCCAAAGTCCATGTGCTTCCTTTTTGTCCTAAGCTGTAGGAGGAAAAAGATTACCTTCAGGATCCTCCTAGTCCTTAGCAGGGACTTACCAAAGCTTTTTGTTCCTCTTATTGGTTCTTCACACTGTGTGCATTGGTGTTACACATCTCAAATACATTCCAGCTTACTCAATACATGGTGGAACAGAATGAAGGCTGTCACCAATACATTGTCCCTCAATTGCTGTCCCGCCATCCTGTGGCTTACCATTAAGAAGCCTGTTACTTATCCCTTTTCCCCCTTGAAACTACTCTAAAGCCCTGCTAACTCCCAAGAGGAAAAAAAAAAAAAATGGATCTGATGGGCTGATTGGACCATCTGATCCCTCCAAATGGAGTTGCATACAACAACCTGATGTTTCATCTTTGTGAGGTGGTGAGCAGCCATGGGGCGAGGTGGCAGGCATGAAACTGAAACGTGGGAAGCTATGTCTGAATGTGAGGAGGAATTTATTTACTGCATGGATGACTGAATGCTGCAACAGTTTGCTCATAGAGGCTGTGGAGTCTCCATCCTTGAGATTCTGAGATGACTCTGAGATTCACTCGCTGGCCTGACCTTGGTGACTCTTAGTGTGGATCATCATCTACCTCATCGTGTCTCTACGTGGTCTTATTTTGGCATTAATAAAAATAAGAGTAATCAAGGATATAGTCTTGTCAAATACTTGTTGTAAAACCTTGTACAATGCATCCTTCTTAGTTGTCTGGTCAGTATTCCTTAGACTGGCATCATTTCTCACCTGTAATCTGTGTACATGTATAAATCGGATCTCTCCTGCTTAAGGTAGTCCCAGCCTTAGAATGTCCTTCAGAGATTACTAAGTTTTCCTGACCAGTTAAAGGAACCTTTCTAAGCACAGGTGTGTCAGTCAAGAGTCAACTTTCACATTTCTGAGAGGTTTCTTTAGAACTTCTTCATTGTAGCTGAGGTTACTGCATTGCTGTCTCTGAGCCTTTGAAACTGTTTTGTGCTATTGTGGCTGGCATAGGCGTCCATCTAGGGAGAAAGGCATTGGGAAAATACCCACGCAGAGCTCAAACCTGTAGGGTGGGAATAACTTACTGTAATGTGAGTGACTCATGCGAAATAACAGTGTTAATGCGATTTTATTACCCATCTGCCTACTCTGTCTTAATTCTTGTTTTGAAACATATCTAAGGTTTTGCTATTGCTTCCATAACACTATTGAGGTGTGCTATTTAATACATTTATGCAAGCCCTTCTGTACTTCACTGTGTGAAGCAAGGAGTTTTTTTAAATAGTTTATATGCCACGTTAGGCAGTGTGGAGTCTTTGGTAGTCTTTTTGTAACGTTACAAGGCTTAAAAAGTCTGTTTCTGACTTGGTAAGTGGAAGGATGTCGGGTGCCAGGTAGCACCTTACTCTGCTGCTGTGTTCCCATGGAGAGTGTAGTAGGAGGACTTCCAGCTCTTTACTATTCCCTAATGTGGTGGTAGGAGGATCTTTGAAGGGAGCTACAAAGCAGGCTGTATTGTGATGTTACATCCGTGGTAAGAATGCTGTGTAGAAGCTCAGAAGGCTTTTTGTCGCCCAGCTGAAAGTGCTCTGCTACAAATGGCAGTTTAGAATCATTACCAGTAAACACCTTAGAGGGTTTGGGATGAGTAAGCTCTTGCAGGTGGGTTGCTGGTAGGTAGTGGTAATGCTATGGCAGTAGGCATTGGAGGAAGAATGTTTGTATCTAAAATTCAGTTGAACTTGAACATTACTTTCCTAGTTGCTTGAAATTTGGCTTTCTGCAGTTTTTATGACCTGCTAATTTTCTAAGTAACTAAATACAGATCATTATCACTTCACTTCTTATGTAAAGTTGTTCTCAGTTCTGTGGGGCTTGAGTGTATTGGAACCTATCCGCATCTTTTGTAAACTCCAGAGAGCATAGCTGCTTTGGGAGTCAGGTAAAATCTATGGGGCTTGGGGACAGGGAAGACAGAAAACGTTCTCCCTGTCAGTTTTCTGAAGCACCTGAAAGTGAAGTGCTGCCATCACTTGCTGGAAATCCAGACTTCCTCCTTCACTCCTACCATGGAAGTGCTAGGGGTGAATTTATACAGAATGCTGCACAGCTCGGAAAATAAACTTATCTCATCTTGCCTAGAGGTCTGCAAACCTGTCCCTGTTCCTCTGGCTATAGAGAAACATAATATCCTGAGTTGATGGGGATCCACTCCCTCCTTTGGCTCCACACAGGACCGCCCAAAATCAAACCCTCTATCTGAAAGCAGTGTCCAGATGCTCCTTGAACTCCAGCACTCGGGGCCATGTCCGCAGCCCTGTGCAGCCTGTTCCACGCCCACCGCCCTCTGGTGCCAGACTGTTTCCCTCACCCCCAGCTGCCTCCCCCAGCACAGCTCCACGCTGTTCCCTCAGGCCCTGTCGCTGTCACACAGAGCAGAGCTCAGCGCTGCCCTCCGCTCCCTGTGAGGAGCTGCAGCCGCCATGAGGCTTCCCCTCAGCTCCTCTGCTCTGGGCTGAGCACAGCGTGGGACCTCAGCCACAACACATTTATTGCCCTCTGAACCCTTCCCCATCTTTGTCACCTTCCTTTAAACATGCCTGTACGTCCTTTGTGTACTGTTCCCCCTCCTCCCCCCAAGCCCCACCCAGTGCAGGAGGTGAGACCACAGGGAGCATTGCAGGACAATCCCTCCCCTTTTCTGGTGGTGGTGCTGGGCCCAGTGCACCCCAGGGTCCAGCTGGCCCTTTGGGCTGTCAGGGCACACTGCTGGCTCACCTTCATCTTGCAGTTAGCCAGAATCCCCAGGTCCCTTTCTGCAGGCTGCACTCCAGCCTCTCATTCTCCAGTCTGTACATATAGCCAGAGCTGCCCTCTCCTAGGCACAAAATCCAGCACTTGCTGTTGTTCAGCTTCATGAACAATGTGTTTGGTGATTGCTCAGACATTCAATTTGTCAAGGCCTCGGGAAGAAGAGCTGTGTGAGCAAGCAAGCAGGGATTCAGGATGGTGCTGGCCAGCAGGGTCTGGATGTACCAGCTCCTGGTGCTGCTGTCTGATGAGGCTGGCTGCCAACTGGATTGGTGCAGACCTGTAGCTGCCTCTGGTGGGTGGGTTGCAGATCCTTTATCTCAAGTCTAATGAATGCAATTTATACAGAATGCTGCACAGTTATTCCTTATGCTTTTTGGTTTTTTTTCCTGTGAAGCAGAATGAGTTCTTATAAATAGCTTTGGCAATTATTGCATAATGTTTCGTTTTTCCAGTAAAAGCTTACTTCTTTGAAGTGATGTTTTTATGAGAAGTATGTATTCTGAAACGAAACTCAGTCCTGAAACTTTATGCCAGTAAGCCTTTTGTTGTTACTTTTTCTGCACTCTGATCAGATAATTGACTGAAATGATCATCTTATCTAGCTTTGTGCATTTGCACAGTTTGTTCAGTCTATCTAAAATGCTCTTTAAACTTTTTTTTCTTTTTTTTCTTTTTTTGCCTTAATTTGTAGCTAACATTTAAGACTATGTAAAATGCAGAAGAAAATAAATTTAACTTAGTTGAAACAGTGTTTATAACATGCTAATGTCTTGGTTCCCTTTTTTTTTTTCCAGGAGCTGTTGGACAAATATTTAATAGCTAATGCAACTAATCCAGAGAGCAAGGTATTCTACCTGAAGATGAAGGGAGACTACTTCCGGTACCTTGCTGAAGTTGCCTGTGGTGATGACAGAAAACGTGAGTGCCTTTTGGTCCTTAGGTTACTGTTAGCTAATGAACTTCAATTGTGAGCCATGCGGGAGAGGACAGTAAGTGAACTGCACACACCAGAGTCTGACTGAATTTATGGAAGTTAGCAGTGTGGGAAAGACCAGGTTTCTTTCTGTAGGCAGAGGGTAAAATTCTGAATACACCTTTAACACAGTATGCAGGGAAATTTTGGCTGGTGTTCTTGCCATCTACCCGATGCTTCTGGATGGCTGTCTAATAATGCTCATTCAGAGCTTTTGGGAAAAAAATAGATGTAGGTCTGGGAACAAACTTGATGTCATCATCCATGAACATGTTGTGCTTGTCTATAATTTTAACCATCTAAATGTGAAGTAGTCTTCATTGTAGTCATCCAACTAAGATTTTAAATAAGTAACAACATTACTAGTTCAGTAACCATGGAGAAAAGTGTAAGGTATCTGGGAAACTTGATGTTGATAGGGATCATAGAATCACAGAATCACAAGGTTGGAAAGGACCTACAAGATCATCTAGTCCAACCATCCTCCTATCAACATTACTATCCATTAAGTTACTAAACCATATCTCGTAGCTGCTCATCCAGACACCTCTTGAACACCACCAGGGACAGTGACTCCACCACCTCCTTGGTCAGGCCATTCCAGTGCCTGACCACTCTCCAAGAGAAAAAGTTTTTCCTTATGACTAATCTAAATCTCCTCTGGCACAACTTGTGGCCATTTCCTCGGGTCCTATTTGTTGTCTGGGAGAAGAGGCCAAACCCCTCCTCATCACAACCTCCCATCAGAGCTAATGTCATCCCTGTAATATTAGCTTGCCCTTTTAGACCCAGCAGCAAAGACCTGGAAAACTTCACAGCCTAGCAGGGTCACTTGTCACTGGGCATCCTAAGAAGGCAGTTAGGACACGTGCAGAGGTGATCCTAAGTACCTCAGTAAGATCTTTTGGGGAGTATTTTAACTCTGTTCAGAGGATGTACTGAAGTAAATAACAGAACTGTCTTGCAGGGTACCCAGGTGAGTTGTGATGTTAAAAGTTGAGGTATGGCATAAATTAAGGATGCCTTTCTGTGTAAGAAACAAAAGTTGGTTCTGGAGTGATACTGTAGTAAAGAATTGAGATGAAAGGCCTTGAGAGAATTGAAGTTGGAAGGATGAAAACACAGAAAACAGAGTAAAAATCTTTGCACTAATTAGTTGCTTTCAGAAATTTTTAGCCCTTCATCTTATTCAAATGACACCAGCAGGTCTGAGATCAGTAGATGCAGTTTGTCTCTAGTTTTCACAAAGATATTCTGATCTATGTTTTTCTCTCAAGCAACAGCTACAGATCTGGACTTCTCTAAGCAGAGAAATGCCAGCATATCTTAGCTGAAAAGACTGCTCATAAAGTGATCCTACATACTGATATGGGTTGTTACTGTAAGAGAAGGACTGATTGATGACCTTACTAGTGGATTTTCTTGCTTTCCACATGAAGAACTTGTGTTACATGCATCACCGTGTACACACTTTGTGCTTGGCTTTTGGAAAATGTCTCTAATATCTAGGCAAGTTTCCTGCATTAACTAGGCTTTTTGCCTTTTTTTTTTGTTCTCAATAAATCAAGAATAGACCATTAGTGCTCATTACACCATAAATATTGAGAAGCTTCCATGTATGTTAACAACTTTCTTGAATACTTAACAGACTTTATTTAGTTGTTTTTTTTTACTGACACTTCAGCAGGGGCATTTAGGGTTGCTTTGGCCCTTTGGTTGTCTTCCGGAAGACAGTCTTGACTAGACCATATGCAGCATTTCAAGTGTATCTCCTTTGGCCTGTTAACCTCCTCACAGTGTGGGATTTCTCCAAATTAATCTAGGCACGACCTCGTTTTTTTATCTCGACTTCCTAATTCTCTCCACCCAGTTTTTGAAGGCAGATTCTTAGTTTTTCAGAACATGCAGCATGTGCCTTCTAGACTTCCTCAAAAAGAGACAGGTCTGTACAGACTGTTGCTTTCTTAATGTTACACACCCAACTCAAACATGAGTATGTTCATCCTGTGCAAAGAGAGCTCTGTAGAAAAAGTAATGGATGATTTTTTTTAATGCCTAAGGATAGTGTTGTGTCAGAGGCCATACACTTACATGTCAAGCTGAGGTATTCTAGTCATTTTCAGTGTCTGTGTTTACTAACCTTGTAGGTTTATCTGTCTTTGTAGTACCTTCATCTGCCTCCTGTGGTTTGTCAGTGTGGTAACTCCACCTAAAATGCATTTAAAGTGATTGCCATGATTTAATGAAGAGTAGTGTTTCACTAAGAGGAGGCCTAAGTGGAGGACTGTCCGCTCACCTGCTAAGCATCGTATCTTTAATGAACAAATAAAGTGACCCTAACTAATACTGAAATATTTCATATTCTTTTAACAGAGACAATAGAAAACTCACAGGGGGCTTATCAGGAGGCATTCGACATCAGCAAGAAGGAGATGCAGCCAACACATCCGATTCGCTTGGGTCTAGCTCTTAACTTCTCTGTATTTTATTATGAGATTCTCAACAATCCTGAGCTTGCCTGCACACTGGCCAAGACAGTAAGTTGTTTTTCAGTTCTCTGTGCATGCTGGGACGGTGGAAGAGTGTTTATGCTTCAAATTATCTGAATGACTTTTTCCTAGTGTTCAAGCAGGAAATTATCCTATTTAGTATATCAAGTTTATAAGCTCATGTTGTTAGTGGAATTAAAGGAGTGCAAGCCAGCTGTATTTAAATCCTAAGCAGCACGGCAAGTTTTTACTGCCTTTGTTCATGTTTCTGGTAGACCAATTCAGGTCACTAATTTCTAACATTACTTTTTTGGATTTTAAAAAAAAAGCTGCCTATGCTGATAAATTTAGCTTCTGTTTTTTAATGATTGGTCAATAGACTAAAGATGGCTTAATTGTTGCAGGCGTTTGATGAGGCCATTGCAGAACTTGATACACTGAACGAAGACTCATACAAAGACAGTACTCTCATCATGCAGTTACTTAGAGACAACCTAACAGTAAGTTGACTTTTTCTGTGCTGTCAATTCTGTAATCTTAATTGCTTAGACCAAATTTGTCATGAAATAGAAACATTATTTAGCACACAACTTAGTAGTTAATTCAGGCTATTTACCCTATTATATTTTCAACTTATGCTACATTAAGACTGAGTTATGATGTCATCAACTCCATGCTGTCTAACATAGAATGACAGCTTAGCTTGTTTGTGTTCTTCATTTCTTGATGGCCTTTGAAGGGAACAGAGGAAGGTGCTTTCAGCTATTTTAACATACAAAATAGGACAAGGAGTACAAAAATAGTAGTCCACGATGTGTCAAGAGATTCTTTCTAAAACTCTGTGATCGTTACCTCAGAAACGAGATGTCTTTCCTGTTGTTCTATCCAGTGTAGCTTACTTTAATTCATTTTCCTGATTTTTTTTCATTAAAACAAAAGGTCTGGAATTACAGTATACTAATGATGAGTTGATTTTTGGGTGCATGTTGTAATGATTAACTGTAAGAAAAGCGCCTAATGGAACTTCTGGGCTCTTAAAATGTTTAACTATGGTAATTTTTATAGAGAAAATCCTCTCTGTGAATAGTCACTGCACTTAAAATTACAGCAAGATTTATAATTTTATTATATTTCTTCAGTAGAAATGGCTTTATTAGCACTGTAGAATGTTTTGTATCAATAACCAAAATGGTGATCTTCGCTTTAGGATCCATCCCTGCTTTTTAAATTAATGTTTCTTCTGAAGCTGTTGTTAAGACTTGAGCGACCTCAGGTTAATGATGTAGATTGTTACTAAGCACAGAAATCTGGACTTCACAGTCTGCTCTGCCTTTAATAGCTGAGGAGCATAACTGGTTGTGCCTGCTGCGTGGGGAAATGTTTCCAATTACCCCTCCACAAGCAAGTGCTGTAAGCTAGGGTTGTACAGCTCCAATGCACTGGTCTTTTACATAGATCCTGAAATGTAATTTCTTATTTCTGCCTAATAGTTGTCTCCTTTTGGAAATAAAACTCTGCTTCTGAAAGCTGACGCCACTTTTCTTTTCTTTCTAGTTATGGACATCAGACAGTGCAGGAGAAGAATGTGATGCTGCAGAAGGTGCAGAAAACTAAACTGCACATGGGGTGTCATTCTCCCTTTCCTTCTCAAGAAACCTTTTTACACGTCTCCATTCCTTATAGCTCCACTTGGATTTCCTATAGCAAAGAAAACCCATCCATGTGTATGGAAATCAATTTATAGTCTTTTCACACTGCAGCTTTGGGAAAACTCCATTCCTTGATTTGTGTTTGTCCTGGCCTTCCTGGTGTGCGGTTACTGCTGTAGAAAAGTATTAATAGCTTCATTTCATATAAACATAAGTAACTTCCAAACACTTATGTAGCGGACTAAAGTGTACCTGGTATTTAAAAACAAATCTGAACCAGTTCCTGCCAGTTGACTGTGTTTTATATTACAGTAAGATATGAAAATGTAGTTAATTGCAACTAAAGAGTGTTCCACATAGCTTTTAATTCTCCACATTCCCTCCTTATTCTGCAGGTTTTCCTTTCCATAATTGACTTTCACATGCTACTGTGTATTTTTCAGTAGAGATACGGAAGTATTGGTCCAGATCAAGTTGAGCATTTCTAGCTTGAAAATTTACAAATTGAATTGCTTCCTGTATAATGTAAGACAGGAGCTTGTGTGTTTGAAAACAGGGGCTACTCTTAATCTTCAGTTGCTGCTGTTTAAGTTTATATCCCTTCCCAATAAAAGTTCACTTACACTCCTGCCTTTGTAGTTCTGGTATTCACTTTACTATGTATTAGAAGCAGCATGTTACTGCCGGAGTACAGGCAGTGCTTTTTGGCAGACTAAAGTGCATGTCATTTCTTAATACACTGGAATGGGAAAACCAATTGAAGTTCACATGTCCAAGTATAAAATTTAGTACTTTTCCATGCAGGTTTGTGCACATGTGAGAAGGTGTCAAGTTTGTCCAGTGATTGTTATTTAGAGAGTTCGGACCACTATTGTGTGTTGCTAATCATTGATTGTAGTCCCAAAAAAGCCTTGTGAAAATGTTATGCCCTCTGTAACAGCAAAGTAACATTAAATAAAATTACATTTTATAAACCACTTACTGTTGACTTGTAACAATTCCATGTAATTGCTTAAGGGCTAAACTCAAGTATCTTGTGCTAGAAGTGTTCTCCAATTGAGTGCATACTTGTAAAAAGTCTGTTCTTAAACTCGTGTCATATTTGAGCAATGTGCATTTTATGAAAATATCCTGGATAACTTTTCATAGTTAACCTGACATGTGGACTTCTCGGTAACTAAATCTACTTGAGCTAATGGCTTCCCTTATTAATTACTTAAAAACAAAACAAAAAACACCCAAGTAGCCAATTTTTGGATGTTTCTCCCTGGCTTGCAAATTCTGTCTTCTAAATTATACCTTTTTTGTAATCTCTTGAAATTCTCTCATTTGTCTTCCTGCTCACTTCTCCCTTCCCCCCCGAAACTCATGGTTGTTATTATTATTTTATGGTATTCCAGATGCAGTTTTAGGAGTGCTGAGGAATTCTTCCTCTAGAACGTTAGTTTTTGTGCTGCCACCTCATAATCTGCTTTTTTTTTGTTCTTAGACTGCTTTTAGTACTACAGGTGCCCCAATTTTTGGAGCTTTTGTAATAACACACTGCTCTGTGGGTTTCTGTGTATGTTGTTTTTTTTTTTTTTTTTTTTGCCTAGATCATGTCAGAGTTTTCTCCTAAATCTCTACCTCTTAGTTCCCCATGTTGATGGGTTTTTGAAAATATTTAACTCCTTTTAGTGTCCTGGCTAGTCAGGATATGACATTATGGAAAATGACATACTGCTAGTCCATGTAGGTTTCTGATGGTACATCTTCCACCTTCCATCTGTTTTGTTCATTCTTTTGAGCGTGCACAATGAGTATTCCTACAATAAAACTGTTCAGATTATATATGCTTCAACTGACATGCATTGCTTTAAGAAAATTAATGTATCAATTCCATTTTCTTCATTCAGTCACTTTGAATTGCTGTCAAAGTATTGTGTGGCAGGATTCTACATAAACTCATATGCTTCTTAATTGGTGTTTTGGTTTCATAATTTATTCCCCTCCCCCACGCATTCCCTATTGATCCTTTGTTTCATAAAGGTTTTAACTGCTCTCATTCTCCTGTACACGTATTTCAGTATATATACACTAGCAGGCAGCAGCAGCGCCTCAATTAAGAGTTTGCTTTCATTGCTCTTCTGTAATACTGTCTCAGCATGCACTACATTGTCAGCTGATGCTTTGCTTTTTATTTCTTCCCTTTGCAATGTGCAAAGTGAGTTGTCAGTGTTTGTTACAGCAGCACTGTTTGGGCCTTGTTATCTAGATTACAGCTTAATTTGTTAGATGTTCCTTCTAATGTCTGTCAAGATGGGAAGCTTCTAGCTGCTGCTTGTCTCCTGCATCTGTGTTCTGTGCAAAGGATGCATCTTGAAACAGCAGTACCAGCCCTTGAATTTTAATAATACTGAGTGCAGTACCTTCTCATACTGTTACATTGAGAAGGAAGGCAACAAAAAGTTTAGGGAAATAAGATGATGATAAAAAAATGAATACTAGACTATCATTTCTTAAATGCCTTTGGAAAGTCCCCCGTCCCCCAGGTAAATTCCATTATTAGCAGCACAGCACCCAAGCTAATGAAACATATTTATGTGTTACAGGATGTGCAGGAGATAATTTGCACTTGTGTGCTGCTCCACCTCACCTAAGAGGACAACAGCTAAGGAAACACAGGGCAGGCTCACAGATCAAATCCTGTGTTCTTTGCAAGAATACAGCTTTGCACACATAAACCTGACAACATGACCCAAGACTCCTTAGTAAAAAGAATTGCCTTGCTGAAGGTGGGATTTTCACTTGCTGTAAACATTTGTATACAGTAAGTCCTTATGGGGTGGAGTTTGTCTTAATCTCTGCAGAGGATTTCCCAGTGGTGCAGTACTCACCTCAGCTCCCTTAGTTTTTTCAGACTCCCGTGGAAAAGCTGGGCTCTGGAGTTCCTGACTGCTGTGCCAAATGGGCCGTGGTGGTGGAGATGGTGCCTCACTTGGAGCAGTTTAGAGTTTTTTCAGGTATTTGCACAGTAACTCAGCTCAGCAGCAAAGCAGAATTTTGTATTTCTTAGGATTTTTACTGAAATGTCAACATCCACCATTGTCTGCTCCTCTGAGTCTAGCTTGGTGTGTTACAAAGCTATTTGTTGTAGCAGAAGATAAAATATTTTATGATTGTGTGAAGCATGCAGCACACACTACTCTGCTGTGTTGATTCAGGTAAGCAGGATTTGAGTGAACATACAGAATATATCAATGATTTCACTGTTAATGTGGTTTCCAAGTGTGGGCCATGCAGCTGAAGTAATATCTTAACTGTGTCTGAGAGTCATCTGATGCCACCTGAAGTTATATCCCATCTGCACAGAATTCCTTATCAAATCATAAGTTAGCCAGTTTATCATATATTGAAAACATGCAAACTTCAAGTTCTAACGTTACTGGAAGGCTACAGCCTTGAAATCCCAATTCTACAAATGAAGTCCCAGACTTATGTAATAAGATCTCCTGCTCTCTTTTGTATGACTGTAGCTAGGTGACGTGACTGCTGGGAGCTTCAGCAATTACAGCTTGGCCAGCTTTCAGATGAATAGAATGCCAGTGTGGGAAGGGTGAAATGCTAGTACCAGATTTGGATTACTGCCATGATATTTTTCCACTGTACTGTGATGCCTGTAAGTTCATAGAGTTATGTCTTCTGGTCTTTTTGTGCCAGAATCCTGAAATGGAGAACACAACCTGAGTACATTTCTGGTCGTAGAGTGTGGTCTCACACTGTGACCGAGTGCTTCAAAATGTACATTTCTGCATGGGAAAGCTTGTTGAAAGCAGGCTTGTCTCCAGCATAGTGTGTGATCTGACATCAGTGTCAGAATCATCTGAGCTAGAGATTCTGTAAATGCCATTAGAAGTGGCTCATAAACTCTTATTACAAATGATATTCTCAGTTGCACAGTCTCCCTACTTAGTTAAAACCTCGTTCCTTCTGTTGCGGTGACCATAACTGTAAAATCCCTCTACATCTGCAAACAAAAGGACAGTTTGTAAAACCTGCTGGATGGGAGTGGGGTGTGCCTTTTTTTTCCCCCCTCTTCTCTCCAGGTTTCCAATTAAGGTATAACTGCTGATCTTGTTATTGCTAAGCCGGGTCTGTCAGAACTGTCATAAACCTGTTGGAAGCAATAAAAGAGCTAGTTATGGCCATGGAGAAGATGGTGGAGCAGGAGAAAGGAAATGTTCTCCTGTGCTCTAAGGAAGCTTATGCAGTTAATTTGGTAAATCGTATTCAGAGGAAATGGCCCTGAACAAGATTGTGCTGGTTTCAATGGTTTCAGTTGCTGACAGTATCACTTAATTCACCTTTAATATTAGAATTAATCAGTTTACATACACAACCTGGAGAATATAGCTCGATTTTTACAGATCAGGCCTTCAGTAGGGTTTTCTGCCACCTCTGTTGATACTGGCGTTAGATCTGCCATTGCAAACTGCACTGTTATACTGACATTCCTCATGTGTGAGTATATATACATCATTTGAAAAAGGAATTGCAAATATACCAAAAATTGGTGATTTTTTCAGCATTTTTGATACCTGTTTTCAAACTTCTGCATCAAAACAGAAAGCGAGGCTGAGTGGTTTTTTTTCTGTTCACAGGACCGTGTTCAGGCAATGAATCAAAATGCAAGGCGTTATTTGCCATAGCTTGAGTTAGCACTGCACCGCCCCTCTCCGTGCCCAGACTGTTGATAGGACACTGCTGTAACGTTGTGAGCAATGGCTGCATGCCTGGGGCTGGGCCAGGCCGCTCAGTGGGGCAGAGCCACTGCAGTGATGGCAGGAGGTGGCTGCAGGATGGGCTGTGCCAGGCAGTAGGCAGCTTGTGGGCTTCGGGTTAAACATGCCTGGCCTTGTCCTTCCTTCCTGCTCCACTACTCCAAGGACCTGGAGTGATGACTGGGTGTGCGGTGCAGCCAGGGAGAGGTGCTGCTGCTCTTGGAGGCACTTCTAGTTCTCATCTCTTGCACGTTGAGGGTACCTGTAGGAGGGGGTGGGCTTTGCACCCAGGCACATTGTGTCTAGGACCATGGAAGGGAGAGGTGCTGCTAAATGATTGCCAGTGGAAGTATGAGGGCCGCTCCAAAAGTAATGCCTCCTCTTTTATCTGGTGGCCAACGACATCAGAAGGGCATGTTGGTAGTATGGCAGTAGAGGTTGAACTTTCCCACCAATATCCCATTACATGTTGTTGCCGTGTGACAGGTGGCAGCAGAGGGGCAGTCTGACACAATGGCATCTGACATGGAAGTGCGTATGAAGCAAAGGTGCGTCATTGAATTCCTCCATGCAGAAATAATTGCACCCACTGACATTCATTGATGCTTGCTGAACATTTATGGAGACCAAACAGTGGATGTGAGCACAATAAGGCAGAGGATGCTATATTTCAGCAGTGGCAGCAGTGACATGAAAGACAAGCTGCATTCTGGACAGCCATGCACATTGTTACAAGCACAGCATACAGGTTCTTGTTCGTTGCTGGTGAAAAGGTAGAGCTAATGGTGGTTGAAAAATAGTGTTGTGTAGATGAGAATTTGCTCTATCAGTGTTATTGTGCTCATTGTATCTGTTCTAATTTCCGTGCAACTAAACAGGAGGCATTACTTTCAGAGCGATCTACATATTTGGTAAGGCAAGAAAAGGGAAAGGAGTTCAAAGATCAGAGTAATATTGAATGCTAAGAACCCTCTCTTACTATTGTTTTCAACATGGAAATAACTTCAAGTATCTTTTCACTTTCAACACAGTGATGCAGGGATGTGCAGAGGCATGAAGGTTCTTCTGTGACCAAGGCCAACCACATGCTTACAGCTGTGTGGGTACAGAGTGTGCCTTTCTTTTACAAGGAACAAAAATGTATGTGCTGTTCTGAATTGAATGCACAGTCATCTCTAGGAGAGCTATGGAATGTGCTTCAAATCCAGCAGCTTTAATACATAGCAAAATAATGATTTATACAAATGATGTAAATAAATGGTTTCTATGGAGAAGAAAGCACCAAGTGTACCAACCTAACAATCAAAGAATTTTGCTTCAAAGCAGGACAATTTGCCATGGGTTATGTATTTAAAATAAGGTGGAAGGAGAGCCCCTGGATCTTCACTTCACACAGCCACCACACTGCATGTTTACAAAGCCTTAGGTTTAGATTCTCTTCTTCCTCTGCTACTGGAAGCTTGATCCAGGTCGTTGCTCTGCTGATAGCTAGAATCTAAATGAAAAGCTTATTTTTGGTCAGTTTATGCCCATTTGTTTATGCATTAGTTCTGCCTGTTGGCTAAACCAGCCATGTTCAGTAAGCATTCCACTGTCAGGAGGGCTGCATCTTGGGTTGATGGATAAGAGTGCTCCAGGCACCTTTTGTGCTCTGCAGGAATGGTAGGAATTGGGAGCTTCAATGTATCTGAAACAGTAATTAGTTGTCAGAGGCAGATCTCAAGGCTGCACATCGTTTTGCTCCAAGTTTTGCTGATTTTGGTAGGAATTCTGTTGATACGAGGTCTGCAGTTGTTCCATTTTCACTTTGTAAATGATTATTTCATAGGCAAGGAGAGCATTTTGTTTTGTGCTTCTGCACAAAACCTATTTAAAAAGGTAAAATAGCCATGGGAGGGAGAATCTTTACATTCTCATCTTGGTTGCCTAATAGAATAATCTTTCATCAATGTGTGCATTGACATTCAAAATGAATAAACATATTTTTTCCTAAATTGTTGCACTTTGTAAAGATGGCTTACTTGTCACTACTCTGCCTTAAAAGACAGAAGTTGTTAGTCGCTGGCAGGCAGTGTTGCTCATCTGTCCATCCTGACTGATGGGTGAACTGCAAATTCTGTTTTTGCCCAATTAGAACCAGAAGAAAGAAGGTGATTTGTTCTTGTCTAAGCAGCATCAAATTTTAAAGATGCTCAACCTCCCAACAGATCTGAGATCTGTATCAGCATCTGGAAACTTCATACTTGATTCCTTGACTCTAAATTTCACTTGAAGAGACAATTAGGCAGGCCTCACTGCTGATTAATAAATCAGTACAGCTAAGCAGTGCAATAAGAAGAATAATGGGGAAGAAGATGACAATTCAGTGGATTTGCAGTGCTAGAATGGGGTTTTGTTTTTCCCCGATAGTATGAAATTGCTGTACCCCAAAACACTATAGTAATGTATTCTGCTGTTAATGACATCTTTCCATGGTAAGAGCTTGACGGTGACTTCTGGGTTTATGGCAAGGTTACTCCATCTTTCCTATTTAGTTGTAGTCCTGAGTCTAATTTGCTGGAGACAAAAGGGAAAGCTAAATGGATTAAATTGCTGACTTGTTAAGGCTACTGTGGAGACTAATCTGTTTAATTCTTTAAGTCAGAAACACCTGGGGGGACTCTTCTTTCTTTAGTGGAAGAGGGAAAAGGTTCTTCACTAAGAAAATCTACAGTTCTGGTGGGATACAAAAAGCCATTAAATGCACTTACATGTATGTGAGGTTGCAGCAGTTGTCATCTTTCCAGAGACTTTCTAGAGAAGAAATTACTCATTTTGTTGTGATGTGCTTGTTTCTGAACTGCTGGGTTTCTGCTGAAGGTCCTTAAATGCTCTTGAGTCCTATCCGGTGAAAATGTTGTGAGGGTGCCATGCAAACAAAATCCTCCACAGAAAGATAAGGATCTAAAAACGTGACTCAAGAACTGATGTAGATAAGCACATGGAAGCAGAGAAATCTGATGGCAAAAGGAAATACCATAGCAAAGCTGAGCAATGTTAAGAGAATCCTTGCCTGATTTCAGAAAGTGAATCTTTAAGTGAAACTACATTGGTGAAAAACAAGCTAACAAGGAAAGGAGATCGACCTGTCAGGAAACATTTGGGCTGTCAAACCACTGGAGTTATTTGATTAGTGTTGTCAAGGGACTAAGAGACAGGATTCTCATGCAAGTTACTGGTGATACAGCTGTTGAAAGGAAAATAGTTTGCCATTTCCTTGCATTAAATGCTATAGCTATTTTTCCTTTTTTTTTTTTTTCTTTTTTTTCTTCTTAATAAACCAATTCTGCTTAATAAATCAGTGCTGCCACACTGAGATGTTTTGCTGAAGGATGGGGACTCAAACCCTTAGAGTAAGTAGTCAAGGCAGCCTTGAATCCCTCAGTCAGTGCAAGTGCTGAGCCTCCTGATGGGAGGCTGCTTCCTAACCAGCTAACAAACAGCACTAGTTGCTTGTTGCTTTAGCAGGAAACCCATTGTTTCATTTGTAGAATTGTGTCATGGAAACTATTTCCTGGATGAGTGAAAACAGTGACCCCAATTATCTCAAATATTGCACTTTTTTTTTTCCCTCAGAAATAATTTATGAATATATTTTATATTATATTGAGACTGATATATTCTGACATTTGGTGTTTCTCTCCTTCTTTCTTTGCCTTCTTGCCTTCTTCCCTTCTTTTTCCTTTATACATATTTAAAATTGTTAGCTCCAAGTCTCCAATTCTCAGTAACATTTTTGTCCCAATAGGAGTCCTCAGCAGCTCTGGCAGTTACAGCCAAATGGAATTCTGAATTGCATTTCCATCTTACAGAGGACAGTTGGAAAGATAACTGTGTGGGAAGTGATACAGTGCAGGGAACAGCCATGCCCTGGCAGTGAGGACGGACCAGATGACCTAATTTTTCTTTTCCATTAGAGCTGTCTCTGATTCCACAGCTAGTCATGCAAGCACATGACTGACAATAGGGATAAAAAACTACGGAAAATGTATCTCCTTGTGTAACAAATGAAGCTAACTGAACTTGATTCCATTGCAAGGACTGATTAATTGAACACCACATAGTTTTCTATGTTTATGTTGGTCTTTCAGATGAAACCTTTAAAAATGACTTGCCATCTGCTTGGCCTGGAATTCAGAACTGCTGTCTCAGCTGCGTGAGACATCTGTTTGATGCAGCTGATGGATGAGTGTGAGCAAGATTGGAGAAAAACGAGCTTAAAGAAACAGTTGCAGGGATAATCTTTGCTAGGTCCTGCGTAACAATGTGCCAACTACTTCTACATTACAGTGTCTTGTATCCAAATGACAAGGGTAAGTGGTGCCAACTGACACCAGGATGTTGGTTAAAACAGTGTTAAGGCTGCTTTTTGCTACTGTTCCTGAATCAGCCATGAGCCGGCTGTCATAGTTCAAAGATTTTTTATTTTTTTTTTACAAGTAAAACCTCCCCTGACATTTGGTTGCATGTGCCTTTCCCATCACTTGGTGCTTCTTGCTGACTGACTGCTCCCGCTCCACCAGGCAGCCTGTGGCCTCCCAGTGTCAGATCTTATCTGGTGTGTTAAGAATTTCAGGATAAGTGTCTACATAGCACACAACATTGTCATTGGACAGGTCTTTGAAATATTTAATTGATATAACTTCAGAGTTTTTGTGTGGAATTTCATTCCCACCTCACATATCCTATTCGTATCATTCTCTGTAAGCACTGTTCATACCATACTTACAAAAAAACCCCATGCCTACAAAGATACGTATCTCTTTTAGCATTAAAATGAGAGCAGATTACAAGAAAGCACGTAAGACTTCCGTCTGCATGAAGAAATGCTGAGGGTAAATGTTTTGATGGAAAACTATACAAAACAGCCACGTAACCTGAAAGCAGATGTTCACCCTTGAGATTCTGCACAACTCTGATCTACAAACACTGTATGGATGGTGATAAGCAGCCAACACCCTCAAGGAATTTCCCACTCAGATCAATTTTGCAAGAAGTGGCATCATTTTTATTTCCTTCTTTTTAATCTGGAGTTAAGTGCTCTTTGCTGGAAGTTTATTTCATAAATGACAGCAGAAATGTCTTGGATCTTTGCAGTGTCACAGAATCATAGAATGGCCAATCTCTCCTAAATTCTCCTGACTCTCAGTCTTATTTTTGCTGGCATTGTTTGTTACAGAATGTTGAAAACACGTTTTGTAGCCCAGATATGAGGAAGGAGTAAATGTTTTGTGAAGTAGACAGTCTTCCTTGGGAGGATTAGACTCACTTACCAGCCCTATGTTCCAGCTCCCTTCTCCCTGTATGGGCAGATGTGCTCTGTCCACACTCCTCTTGTGGAGCCAGAGACAAGGATGAGATGTAGGGATGTCAGTTGTTTTCCATGCCCTGTGTTCCCATCATAAAGCATGTTCCTGTGTAGTCCTATCCCAATTTCTAAAACACAATAAGAAAACAATCTTCAAGCTCTTAAGCTCTGTATAAATAAATACGTGTGGATGATAAAATCTTACTGGTTAGTAAGAAAAGAAATCTGATAATGGAAAAAAGCTTAACTGTAGAAACAAGGAATGCCTCAGTTAATACTAAAGGCCCTTTGTGGAAAGAATGACCAAAAATTCAAAATTCTACATTTAACAGCATATTTCCAGCCTGTTGCTACTTGCTTTTTCCCTTGACTTGTGAATTTTTTCCATGTTTTCCTTTTCCAAATGGAATAGTGTGATTATTGCTATCCAAGAAAACTGCTTCAGAGACATAACTAAATGAGACAAAAGTAACTAGTAGATGCAGTCTGACATATTTTGCTTTCTTGTTCTTCCTTGTCATTCAGCTTTCATAACCACTTGCATCCACCTACTCCCCAAACTTTTATTTGCTGTTAGTAATTATTTACTTGCTTTCCTATTTCAAAGGTCCTTGTTCAGATCCCTAGCTTAGAAACACTAAGCACAGCTTTTAAGCAGTGTTGTGTGATGAAATGTATCAGCCTGAGCCTTATAAATTAAAGGAACCCTGAGGCTGTGCTGATTTATACTTGCTTGCAGTGGCGCATGAGGACTATTTCATTAAATGGCAATTGCTATGATAGAAAGCTCCAGCAGCAACCTGTTATCTCTAACTGTGCTTCCTATGCTGACAACCAGTTACTGCTCTGCATCTATCCCTCTGAGGCTGTAGTTATGCGGTCGATTTAATCCAACATAAACTGTATCGCTCCTTAAACCTTCTGCCTTCTCATCTGTGCTTGTCCCTAGTGCCTCCCTTAGCCTGACTTTAGGCAGCCTGGATGCAAAACTGGTGATGAAAATGGACAGCTTCCACGTATCACTTCCCTAGCTGTGCACTGACCCACAAGCAAGCCGGCTCTGGAACAAGAGAAATGTGAGGGAGGAGAGATGGGGAGGGCTATCGCTCCCTGTGGGAATGCAAATTGGGTTGGACTAATGTGGCCATGTAAGGGAAGCCTGCGTATGACTGAATACCCCTATTTGTCTGACCTAGGGTAGGTTTATTTGTTCAATTTGCACTGGATTCTGGATTTGGTCTTGTAATTTTTGTGTTGGTTTCAACAAAGTGGCACCAGATTCACACTCATGAGAGCTGCATAATAAATGTCACTTTAGAAGTAATACTTTCCAGTAGTGAAAATTCCCAAGATTCAAAAGTAAATTGCACAAAAAGAAGAGTTGTTAAACTAAAGGACAAAAATTATCAAGTGAGAAACCTTGGTAACCTTAGCTGAGCTATCGGTCCAAATGACAGCCCAGAAAAATAGAGGCATAAAAAGAAAACATATCTTACTACAGTTCTCGCTTTCTCTGTATGATCCAAATTTCTTCTTACCTTTGCAGTTGTGTTTAGGGTTAAAAAAGCAAGTTTAAGCATGAAAAACTAACCTTGTTTTCAGCTTTCCCATACTTATTATTAGTGTAGGAGGCTAACTTTGCAGTGTTCCAGAATGAAATGTCCTGGTATTAATGCCTGCAATCAAGGAAATGGGAGAGTATGGGATTAATAAAACAAACAACTATCCACTAAAAATTAGTTCACTAAAAGTTTAGTTCACTAAAATGAAATAATCTAGGCCAAGGCTCCTGTTCATTTCAGTTGGGAAGCCAAGAATACTTGGAATCCCCACCTTAAAATTGTAACTTAAAAGATGCAGCACATTCTGGGGGAGTGAAAGGGTGGGAAAATAATAACTAATGTGCCAGCTAGAATGTGTTTATACTGAAATACATGTATTGATATACATTATATATTTATTATATATATAGAATATATTTTTCTGTGTATTTGTGTGTGTATATATTCACAATGGAGTGGTGGCATTAGTGAACAAAGGAAAGGCAACTGATGTCATCTAGCTGGACTTGTGCAAGGCCTTTGATGTGGTCCCACACCACACCCTTTCTCCAAATCGGGGATTTGAAGGCTGGACTATTCAGTGGATAAATAACTGGTTGGCTGGTTGCAGCCAGAGGGTTGTAGTCAGAGGATCTATGTCGAGGTGGAGGCCAGTGACAAGTGGTGTCATTTAGGGGTCTGCCTTGGGACCGGTGTACTTTAATATCTTTATCAATGACTTAGGTAGTCAGATTAAGTACAGATTAAGATAAGTTTGTGGACGACACCAAGCTGAGTGTTGCAGTTGATACCATAGAAGGAAGATATGCCATCCAAAGGGACTTGGACAGGCTTGAGATGGGGGCACGTGTGAACCAAATGAGGTTCAACAGGGCCAAGTGCAAGGTGTTGCACCTGGGTCAGTGCAATCCCAGAGGTGAGTACAGACAGGGAGAAGAACTCATTGAGAGCAGCCCTGGGGAGAAGGACTTGGGGGTCCTGATGGACTAAAAGCTGGATAGGAGCTGACAGTACCCCAGGCTGCCTCAAAAGTCAGGTGGCCAGCAGGGTGAGGGAAGTGATTTTTCCCTTCTACTATGCCCTCAAGAGGCCCCATCTGAAGTACTGTGCCCAGGCCTGGAGGCCCCAGCACAAGAAAGATGTGGAGTGGGTCCAGAGGAGACCACAAGGATGCTCACAGGACTGGAGCACTTCTCCTATGAAGACAGGCTGAGGGAGTTGGCTTTGTTCAGCCTGGAGAAGAGAAGGCTTCGAGGTGACCTCGTTGTGGCCTTCCAATACTTAAACAAAGCTTATAGTCAGGAGGGAGACTGATTTTTTACACAGACTGAAAGCGACAGGACAAGGACAAACAGTTCTAAACTTTTACACTAAAAGAGATTTATATTAGATGTTAGGGGGAAATTTTTCACTCAGAGGGTGGTGAGGCAAAGGCTGCCCAGAGAAGCTGCGGATGCCCCATCCCTGGAGGCATTCAAGGTCAGGTTGAATGTGGCCCTAAGCAGCCTGATCTACTGCCTGGTCTAGTGGTTGGCAATCCTGCTCACGGCAGGGAGGTTGGAATTAGCTCATCTCTAAGGTCCCTTCCAACCCAAACTATTCTATGATTCTTTGATGATTCTGTGATTTATTTAAGAGATGTGACCATGTCTGTTTGCAGGAGACTGACTCACTTCATTTTGGAAATTAGTTATAATCAGATATTAACAACTGTTGGTTACTAAGGACCTAGGCTGAACCCACGCCAGTAACCACACATCATCAGCTGTAAGTTTTCAGTCCTCTGAGCCACTGAAACCTTTTCATAACTCATATTTCTACTTTCAAATGGAGATAGAAAAGTTATTAAAGTTCAAATTTTGCACTAAATATATTACTTGGACTACAGCATGTTACGTCACTTAAAAACACATTTGGCACAGTAACGACTGGTTGTATCATCTGGAAAAATTGAAATACAAGTAAAATCCTTAAAGTCCTGTTTACGTTCTTGTATTGCAGTGTACAAGTAGCCAGTTAAATACTTCTTCTTAAGGTAAATTGACCTTTTCAAATAACTTAAGTATCAACATTATTTAAATCGTTATATGAAATGCCAAAGGCTTGGACTGTAGAAGCAATGTTGAAGTTTAATGAACAAACACAATGTAAAAAAAAAAAAAAAAGTTAAGGTTTACCTTCTGTCATATGTGCAATATCTTTGCATTAACAGGAGCAAGAAGAAACCAAGTAACATGCATTTAGAGATCTTACCAAAATGTCTGCCATTCTACACTGCATTTTTCTTTATGCTGCAAAAATTTCACCTAAAAAGTTCAGTTGTCTTTAATCTCAGAATAATTGCAGGAAAAAAAAAAAAAAAAGTAGCAACACATCTTTGCTTGCCCTGGTTCCATCAAGGTTTCTCTTCAGGTTGCATAAGACCATCTTCTGGACCAAAATAATTGTTTAATTTGCAGAGAACAATCTAATGATGTTACTAAGCCCTACAGGGAAATGACTCCAATAGCAAAGTTGCACGTGCAGTGAAAAATACTGGCAGTACATCCTTTCAGACTGTGATCCTACTGAAGATACCCAACAGGGAAGACCACTGTTATTGTAATTCTGTGGCTATGGTGTTGCAGACACTGCTGCCCAAGAAGTTGTATCAAGAATGCTGACTCCTATGTAAAAGGTAAGATTTAGGCTATGGTATCCAACCACAAAGTTTCCTGCCTTTGTCTGACTTTTCCCACTCAGCTACCTTCAGGAGCATTCCAAACAGCCCAGGCATCAGAGCAAGTGTAAGTAAACCTTTGTTCTGCATCATCAGTTACAGCTTTTACTCTCCTTTTTATTACCTATATTTTTGAAGAACACAAGTCAGGAAAAAAAGAACAACAGCCCACCAACAAACTAACCAGCCAGGGAAATAAACCACGTACCTAGGAGTTCACAGCAGTTTAATTAAAACACATGCAAGGATAAACCGAACTCAGCACCATTTCACTGGTCAAACTGCAATATTTTTGCTGGAGCTCAAAGGGAAAAGAAAAGGCAGAGCAGACAAGCTATCAAGGGGGCAAATGAAAGATCAAACGCTCTGGCAGCATTACAGAGTTTGATCTTTTTCTCTTAAATTTTGTTCTCAGTCACCTTGTTGACCTCCTCATATTTCATGACCTCCTTCATGGCCTGTTTCAGCACCTTTCTGTGCCCTGATCCCACAGGGTCAGCCTGTCTGTGTCCCAGAGGGAGAGCTACCTTCTGCAGATTTCTGAAAGAGGAGCAAATTTGAATTGGCTGAAGCCAAGTATACAAGTAGCATAAGATCAGAATCAAGCCTCCTATGTGTATCTTAGAGATAGGAACAGTATCCTTTGAACTGCATTCTTGATGATATTTGTCACATACTTCCTCATTAACTTCAAAAGGGTTTGATTCCTCTGATTGCAGTGCTGATTACCTGCTATCTTTACTAACAGGCAGTCACTCAAACCTTTATTATATTTACCTTCAAGTCCAAAATACTTTCAATTACAAACAGTCATATTAAATCACTGGTTAAGCGTAAAGCAGTATTCTTTTGAGATCAAAAGCGTTAAAGAGTGATAAGCAAGTATGAGCTTTGTCCTAGATTTGCAGTAAATTCCGTGCCCATGCTCACTTCTTTAGGGACCTTAGGAGCTTCCTGCCTACCAGTTCTTTGCCATTAACAATACGCCATCGCATGTGAGAAACAGGACCACTAAGTATTACTTTCAGTTCTCCTAAGGAAAATTCTCCTGCCTCTAAAATAGCCACCTAAAATGGATCTAGCAGTGTGCTCATTTTCAGATCATTTTCCAGTTCTTTTGAATTAGTGCTTTACATTTGCAGGTATAGCAGGTGAGCAATAACTACAAATACTTGGCACTTACAGGGCATATTTGATCTATCTGCACCCACACTTTACCACTGGAAATCAAACTCACGTATAGAAAGATGACCTCGTCAAAGCTCTCCCTGCTTCCATACAGGTTCCTTGAGCTAATTACAGCTGAAGAAATATTTTGGCCAGTAGTTTCCTTACTGTGGCCCATGAGCCACTGGTTCAACCTCCACGGAATGACATGAAATGTGTTTTCAACAGCATGTTCAAGTAGGCTCTTTTGAGAGTTGACCATACTGCAGTGGTCCGAACTTGTGGGAGACGAATGACCTGATCTGACATTTGAGGTCATAGAACCACTGAACTGCTCCTTGTGACAGCATAGCTGTGCCACCAGCACCAAACAAATTCCAGTTCAATGAATAAGCTAGCTCAGCAGCTTATTTCCTGACGAAGAGGGCAGATGTCAAGATATTTTACTACCACTATGCAGAGAATACTCTCAGCCCAACCTCCAGTGCACAGTTTAATTACAAACACATCCAGAAGAAAGATGACAGCCTACACAGGTATTGCCAGGGAACATGCCTTCTAGCAGCACTCTTCTGAGACAGGAGTGTCCCTTGGAAGTATAAGTTGCTTTGTCTTCCTGTTGTGTGTACTGTATCAGACCTAGCTGGTAAGCAAATCACACAAGAGTGTAATCAGGCAGGGCTAGGGAGAGGCAACTGTATGAGTCACATATTCAGCACATGGAACTGAAAGCCCTGCAGTGGGAACAGAAATGGTGCACCATGAAGATGAGAGATCAAAGGCACATTAATACAAAGACACCTAAATGTAATGACTGAAATCTCCACCAACGGGCAGGTGACTCTTGAACCGCATGGCGATCTTACGCAGTTCAAGTGTGCCTCCTGCATCATCTCCTCCATGCTGGCGATGTGGAGGATGGCTTGGCTGGGTAATCTGAACCCCAGCTGTTAATGAATTGAGCCAGCTGGTCCCCCTGAGCCTGACGCTGGAAGGATGCCTCCAAGTCACACACATACCTGCCCATTTAGCTGTGGTGAACTGGTGTCCCTGATGCAGGCTGCTCACAGAGACTTCCTTATCTCTTTAGAACAGATTTCATGTGTGGATACTGGTCATGCAATGATTTTGTTATAGTGCTCGTAGACACCAAGAAGTGACATGGAAATAAATCTTCTTGGTCTTGCTTACAGAGTTAGCAGGACTATTTGGTCAGAGAAAGTACTGTGAGGAGTTGGATCTAGATTTCCTGCTCAGTGCAGTCACTTATTTAGAGCAGTAATGCTTCATACCTACATTGCTTAGAAAAGAGTGAGTTGAATGAATCGAAAATTAAAGTGAAGGATCAACCTTCTGAACAGACTGATAGCTTGTTGACACTGAAGGCTGTACCAGCTCAGCAAAAAGCTGCCTGCATTCCTCCAGTTCTGGCACAAATAGGTTCATTCAGCCAGTGGTACAAGCTATGGTAGTTCTGCCCTGTCCTTTTGCTGCTAAGCTACCAGGCCATTACAGGAGATCAGAATTTCTTCTTCTAGTCCTGCTTTCCTCCCTCATTAGAGGCTTTCAAGATGGTGCCCAGGGGAGCCTTAAGACAAACACACAATTTCTCATTGTATAAGAGGAGAATCACTGCAACATTTCAACACAGCAGAATGTTTATTCAGGAGCACCTGGTTCTGCAGAAGGCTCTGAGCTCCTATTTTCAGCGTGGAAGCCAAGTAAGATACATGGTCTTATTTTTTGACTGAGTCATTTCAAGCTATTCTCAGCAATGCTACACTCACAAATGTGGCCTACTACAGCTCTAATGGGAAAACCAAGCAAAGGCTAATGCTACGTTCCATGTATTCCATGAATTGCTCTCTATTTGAGTTCTTGCCAAAAACCTAGATGGCACTAATACATTCCAGCACAGCCTTCTTCTAGCTCACTTTTTTTCTGTTTCTCGGTAGTGTAGATTGTGCAGCATTCAATACATTAATTTTTCATAATGTTAAGTCTCCACTGACACTTACATACCATATTGCCAACACAGCTTGTGGGAAAACCACAAGAGTTTTACTTTGCAACCCTCACTTATGGGAATAAGCCTCACTTGTGAAGTCAGCGTATACTGATTTCAGAGTGTGTCCCAAAGAGTTTCATTTGAAGAGTCCAGTTGCAGCAGTCCAGGACCTGAAGGGGGCCTACAGGAAAGCTGAGGAGGAACTTTTTTATAAGGGCAGGTAACGATGGGACAGGGGGAAATGGTTATAAAGTGGAAGAGGGTAGGTTTAGACTAGGTATCAAGAAGACATTCTTTACTGTGAGGATGGTGAAACACTGGAATAAGTTGCCCAGTGAGGTTGTGAACGCCCCTTCCCTGGGGCATCCAGCATTTGATGCCAGGCTGGATGGGGCTGTGAGCAACCTGGTCTGGAAGGAGATGTCCCTGCCTATAGCAGAGGTTGGAACTAGGTGATCTTAAAGGTCCCTTCCAAACCAAACCATTCTATGATTCTGTGATTTGCACCTTATAAAATGTCCTTAAAAGTTCTAACAAAAACTGCACAGGGACCGTTTTTACATATATAAAGATGTAGACTTAGATACGTACACATACACACACACAGACAATGCAGCCTGCAGATCTTTTCAAATCTTCACGTGTGCAATTTAATCAGCTAAAATTTCTGGTAATGTTTTTTTGCAGTCCAGTAGATGTATGTTCATTTGTTTAGCTGCCAGACTCCACTTGGGTTGCTAGTGTGTGCTGGTAATCGGTTCCCTCTGTATCTCCTACACCAAAATAGTACTGCTGGAGCCCAGCCCATGTTCCATTATTCCCAAAAGATCACATTGCAGACCTTGCATTAAGAGTATATATATATTAGACTGATATAAAAATATTGCCCAGAAGTACATTTTCTCTTACCTAGTACTTAGATCCTTTTTTCTTCTATTGTAAACTTCAAATAAGAAAAGTCTGCTTTCTTAGAAGAAAAAAGAAAATCAATAAAAATACTGATATCAAATGAAAAGCTGAATATCAGTGCCAGAGATGTTAACTTTTGCCAGTGTCCATGACATCTATTCTGTGGGAAAGAGAAATCAACAGGATATATTTTAGAATCAAAACAAAGCCTGGCAATGTGAAATCAGGTTCTGTTCTCCTTTTGCAGCTGTGAGTATTATCAAACAAGTGCACTGATATGACAATAACAAAGCTACAAAATGGATCCTTTGAACTTAAAGGGAAGTATGTTGTCCTGATACATTTATACATAATTATAAATGTAATCCCAGCACCGACAGAAGACTAAAAACTAAGAATAGGTTATCACAGTCAAAATGATCGAACAGAACAGAATGTGTCTCTCTATTACATATTGTGAGGTCCTTCCAGGCCAGACTTCGTGAGGCATGGACACTGGAACCACAGGATCTGTTAAAATCAGATTTTGTACTAATGGAATTGCAGAAATTGCTTAATGTGATTTAGGAAAAGATTTTAAACCCCATCTTGTTTGCATTTAAACCAGTGTCAAAGTTCTGGCTCTCTGAACAGGGCTGGGATATCTAAGAAAGTTTGAACCACCTTGCCAGAGTGCATCCAGAAATGTCTGTAAAGGAGAGAAAGGCAGGTGTGGAAAATAACCAGTAAATCGTAAAGATGAGTGTTTTGTAGTCATTCTCACAGCATGGAGCATTAGAAAACTCTGGAAAACTCCTGAGTGGCTCTGTTGGTGACATATGGTGGATCTTTAATATGTATGCCCAGTTCTGAAAGAGTGGTTAGCTTTAAAAAAACAAAAAGGTTGGTGTCATTTTTTTTTTCCCCTATTAGGAAAAAAGTGTATCAGTCAGATGGCAGAAGTATTTTTGTTATTTGTATATGTAATCCTACGTAAACATGCATCACCTTTCCTAAAAAAGGAACAGATGGAAGAATGGCAGCACCATCTCCTGGTCGATATAGGAAATGGGGACCACTTAGTGTCAGAAAGCAGGGACAAGTAATTTCTTTGTGGGTTTGAAAAGGACTGTACCAGGAAGTAACTTCACAAGAGCATATTCCCTCTCTATTAACTCTAATATACTTCACGGAAGAAAAACATTGTGTGTTGTTATGATTACAGAGAGCACACACTCACAACTACGAAGAACAAATTAAGGTCGCTTCTCCCTTTAAAAAGCTCTCCCATGTTGGCTTCTCTGTTTTTCTTTACTTGTAGTAATAGCAGATTTCAAAACTATCATGGCATATAAATGAGGCCAGTTGCAGTGTATTAATATAGTCTTGAAAGATAATAGAAGACAACAGAAGTTTCCTGTAGTCAGAAAATAATGGAATACGTTAATTTCCAGAGCTGTAGTCAACTTTCTGTCTTGCTGAGTAGGTAGGGGAAATAGCAGGACAATATTAGTAATACCATAAACTGCTGGATCATTAATGTGGAAGGCTATTTACACACATTTAGAAAGTGACAACAGGCCAAACTAAGTAAGGGTAAGGCCTTGGAGTAAAGAAAGAGTATATGGGGAAAAAAATTCCCATGGAGAAAAAAGAAGGGAGACTAAGTTGGGCAACTTGGTAAAAGACAACCATAGAAAAAAAGAGGGAAGAAAAAAAGAAGGAGGAGAGATTCTAGAAACTTCTACAGCTTTTTCTTGAAAAGAGTAGAACTGGCATGTCACAGGCATCCAGATCTCATTTATCAGAACCATCTCAAACAGCATGAGGGAAAAGACTTGGCACTAGGTCCAATTTTCTGGTGTATTAAATGAGAATAAAGCACTCCTTGCATTACACAAACAGGAATGGCTGTTTGCTGGTTTTCTGTTTTTGTTTCATGCTTTGAGGGTTATTTTGCTTTGAGAAACTCTTGAGTGCTTCTAAGGAATTTTTGTTGTAGATGATCATGAAAGTCATAAAAGACGAGAGTTACGAAATCATTCATTTCATCCTCCTCCCAAAGGAAGAACACTCCTTATAAGACACAGGACTTTACTCAACTTAGATTCAAAACCCGAAAGTCATAGGGGTTCCAATGATTCCCATGGGAAAATATGCAGTTTTGTACAGCCCACAGTCTTGCACATGGGTGGGGTGCAGTTTTGCTTATCTCATTAGCTCAGAACCAAGATCAGGCCTTTTGCCTTGGGGCATCATTTACTATTCAAACACGCACAAAACAAAAGTAATTCTCAATCATTCTCCAGGGCCTGCCATAAAATCTAGCTTCCTTTCTAATCAAATCATTAAACAGTATATTTTAGGAATTGCTCTGGTTAGTGATATAATATCTTTCACCAAAACACACTAAATGCTGTTTCCTCATTCATGTTTCATCATCTCCTTATGTATTTATCATATTCTTGTTTAGTTCTTAACCACACAAATAACAATTAAAATTCCTTAATGGGGGAAGAACGCATTCTTATCAATACTGGGTATCAGCAAGCTCTGAAAGTGTTCTTGTACTAGACATAGTGCTACGTTTGTATAAATCCCCCAAATAAAACAAAATTTGCACCCAGACATGCCATCAGACTAACCTACTAATACAAAATAAGTGATTCACAGAACAAACAATATTGCTAAATCAATCACGCTTTTTTATTTACTGTTTACTGTTATACTAATTGCAGTGCCTAAATATCTTAATCTACAACTCCATTGTGCTTGATTTTGTCAAAACACAAATCACAAATAATCCATAGCCCTAAAAATATTTATGGACAACTTTTATTGTTAGCACATCCCTGTGAGATAAGAAATAAATGGAAGAAAAATATTGAGTGGGAAAATGCAACTGATAAGTGAAAAAGAAACCTACTTGGCTTTCTGTATCTTGCCTAGGGAAGGTACAAAGTAGTAAAAGATAAAAATTCCACACCTCAATAAAAAATAAAACAGATCTGTTCTGAGACCCATGCAAATCAATAAATGATTTGAAAACAGGCAAAGCTAGTTTGTAGATTAAAAACAACAACAAAACATAAAAAAAATAACAGCCAAGCAAACAAAAGCCACAAAGAACACCTTTTCTGAAAAGCCCTAAATAAAGTCAAATCTGAAGAGTTGCAGGAGGTCCTCACGATATTAATGACACCTGATAAAACAGCAAGTGAAAATCAATGATGCCAAATGCCAAGTTATAACCTTCACCAAACAGTCACAATGAGGAACACCAGTTCATCTAGTAGTTGTTAGTACTTAGGAAAAGAGATCCTGGATCTGGGTGAAATTTCAGCTTCCCAAAATCTCTACTCTGTACTCAGTAGAAGTTTAAAAATAGGAAAGACAGCAGAACTTAGACATAAGCAGTGCTAGAGGATATATACTATAGATATATTATATACAAAAGTACAGAAAGAGTCAAGGATAAACATAAATATGAAACATGCCACGCAAGGGAAGACTAAATGAAATAGAACCTTTCATTTTTTCGGGGAAAAAACAAGTCTTTGAGGGTTATGATAGAAATCATGGAAGGTATTAAAGGGAAAAGGTATAAAACTCAACAATAAATCATTTTCAAGAGGACATGAGAATTTTAATAATCTTAGTGTATCAAGTGCCAGAAGTTTGTGAGTTCTGGAATCCACCAAGAGAACTGGGTGTAAAAGCAGCATTCAGAGAGAAAACTACAAGACCAGGAGTATGCAAATCTCACAGTGAAAGAAAGTCACCAATGTACCTTCATATCTGAGTACTTACTCATAAATAATTTGAATAAGGAGGTGAGGACTAAGAAGACAAAGCCTTCCGATACCATATTGTTCATGGAAGGAAAGACAAGGTGTGGCTGAGAAGAACTGTAGCACCTCTCAGGGCTCAATTAGCCACAGCTATGCTGTAGAATGTGGGAGACACCTGAATGGCTCTGGCACGGAACCTCATGGAGACACAGTGCTCTTCTGAATCCTTGGTGAGATACCCTACGTCATCTGTGAGGGTGGAGAGATGCTGGAACAGGTTGCCCAGTGAGGTTGTGGATGGCCCCATCCTGGAAGCATTTGAGGCCAGGATGGGGCTGTGAGCAACCTGGTCTGGTGGGAGGTGTCCCTGCCTATAGCAGGGGGTTAGAACTGGGTGATCTTAAAGGTCCCTTCCAACCCAAACCATTCTATCATCCTCTGAGCTGAAGCAGAACTCACATCTGGGCAGCCCACCTGAGCCTTTGGTGGCTGGCCATAGAACAACAGGTGATTTTCAGTACTGAGATGCAAAGTGAT